CCAATTATACATAATTATACATGATTATACTATATTTATCTATAATCATGTATGATTATACATATTAGTTTTCCATTATACATAATTATGTATATCCCTTTTTATCATTATACATAATTATGTATATCCCCTTTGATCATTATACATAATTATGTTTATCCCTCTTGATCAATATACATAATTATGTATATCCCTTTTTATCATTATACATAATTATGTATATCCTTTTAACCATTATACATAATTATGCATATCCCTTTTAACCATTATATATAACTATGCATATCCATTTTGGTTATTATATATAATTATGCATATTATTTTTTACCATTATACCATATATATGACTTTTGGCTATTATTCATAACGATACATAACCCTCATGATCACTATGTATAACTATAGCCATTTTATTGTTATGAACAATAGTAATAAAATAGGTGTAACAAGTCGTTTGGTGTAATGTAGCCAGCTGCCGCTGCGCCGCATGCCTGCGAAGCTGGTGTGTTACGCCGAGAGGCAGCTATACCATCTAAACAAATACAGATACAGAATTAGATAAGGTTATATTTTGGTGTCATGTGGTCTTTAATACTGACTATAGCAAGTAAGTCCTACACTACTTCAATTTATTGATACCAATGTTAACTGAAGTTTTTGCTAATGCTATCCATGTCATCTTTTTCTTTTACATAGAACAAATTCTTAGCCCCTCTTGCCAAAGTTTTGCTAATGCTATCCTTGTCAACCTTTTCCTTTACATAGAACGAATTCTTACCCCCTCTTGCCAAAGTTTTTGGTAATGCTATCCATAATTGCCTATCGAAAGCAGTTTCAATGCTGATTTGTGCACCTACATCGTAACAATGGCATGGCGACAAAAAAATTGAAATTTTTTCTACTGTCCCAAAATTTCCGAAAGTGTACATTGAATTGTCCCAGACAAAATTTTGGTGGCCTCTGGCCATAGATACACCTTTAATTTCAGCACTGTCTGTTAGCCTGTGCCACGCCCAACAGCACCTTTCTGTTGACTGGCTCAAGAGTGGAGGTGCGAGAGTTTTAGGGGGATATTTTAAACCCTATAAAATGATATTTTCTTTGTTTTTGTAGGTGAATTTCAAAGGAAGTTAGATACCCCTAGACTTAGACACTGCTGAAGTTATCCACATGTACAGTAAAAAAAATGGCACCCCAAACACAAAAATACATAATGACAAAGCTGTACAGATTGTATGTCAAAAGGCAGGTCGAGGGGATTGGGTCCAGATGATCACGTCACAAGGTTGATGGAAGTTGACCGATAATTTGGGGTAAGTCCCACTTTCATTCCAGTGTTGGAAAGAAAGCTTAGACTTCATTCACAATGATGTATACCAACACTGATGAACTTCCACGCTAAGACCTTTTGTTAATGTTTTTATTCACTTTTATTCAAGACAAATGAAAACCTTTCGCCTGACTTTTCTACACAAAACTACAGTATTTGTCTTTCACCTGGCTTTTCTACACGAAACAACAGTACTTCTCTTTCACCTGGCTTTTCTACACAACACAACACAACACAACACAACAGTACTTGTCTTTCACCTGACTTATACAAAACAACAGTACTTCTCTTTCACCTGGCTTTTCTACACAAAACAACAGTACTTGTCTTTCACCTGGCTTTTCTACTCAAAACAACAGTACTTGTCTTTAACCTGACTTTTCTACACAAAATAACAGTACTTCTCTTTCACCTGGCTTTTCTACACAACACAACAGTACTTGTCTTTCACCTGGCTTTTCCACACAAAACAACAGTACTTGTCTTTCACCTGGCTTACACAAAACAACAGTACTTGTCTTTCACCTGGCTTTTCTACACAAAACAACAGTACTTGTCTTTCACCTGGCTTTCACACAACACAACAGTACTTGTCTTTCACCTGGCTTACACAAAACAACAGTACTTGTCTTTCACCTGGTTCTCCTACACAAAACAAAAGTACTTCTCTTTCACCTGGCTTTTCTACACAAAACAACAGTACTTGTCTTTCACCTGGCTTTTCTACACAAAACAACAGTACTT